TGTAAATATACACAACTTTATAATAAAATGCACACATTTACCTTTTTCTAGACTAAACACAGGTACGATCCTAAGTTTAAAACATGAGGTTATCATGAGGTTGTTAAAGGTCCCATGTCATGGCCATTTCTACTGGTCATAATTCCATTGTTGAGGTCTACTAGAATACATTTAAATTGTGCAATTTTCCAAACTCACATTGGTTTCTCATACATAATCTCTGTATAGTCTGTGCATTCACTCTCTGTCCTAAACGGCTTGTTGGAGCTCCTGCCCCCCCCTCCCTATGAGCCCAGTGGCCGTCTGCGAGACAGCGAGACACAGCGAAACCCAGCCCGAAACACACACACACACACACACACACACACACACACCCGCAGCCTGGCTGGGAGTGTCGGCCGACCCCACACCAGTGAGCCAGCTCACACTGTCCCGCGGAGCCGTTACGTTACGTCACTATACCCAGGAAGAAAACAATGGAAAAAGAGAAATCTCCAACGAGGCGTTCTGGGGCAGCATAAACAGGTCTTCTCTGTGTTAGAGTTTTACTCGCTACAGGGTGTACTTTGAGGGTTTGTGACTCTGCAGACCGTTTACATGCAGAAAAACCTTCATAACACACAAGGGGACGGGTAATAACCAGAAAAGTATGACATGGGACCTTTAATATCGCAGTTTATCAGTGGATGTTTCCTGACGGACACACACAGCGTTGAGACCGGTCAGGTAGAGACCGGTCTCCAGTCATCACAGATGCAGACTCGCTGTTTGAGGGCTTGATAGCCCACTTACCCTCCACACTGCTCCACACTCGTTGGTTTGGAATAGCACTTAATATGGCGGACCCTCCGCATGAACGTGCAAACGGAGGGATAGGGTGTAGGGGTAGGGTGTCCGGCTGAGAGCGACTTGATAGCTTTAAACTCCGCACTGATTGGTCAGCAGGCGGTGCTTTCACTGAGTTGATCTCTTATCTGGAACATAACCTGCTCCGGAGTCCCCACCTAGTGTCAGCAGAAAGTAATTAAAATAATAATTCCAAAAATATGCAAAACATATATATCTTAAAATATATTTTAAGATCATGTTTAGTCGTCTGATTCGTCTGTACATTGCTGTGCCGCGAAAAGTGTAGTTATGAAGAGCAGACGAGAGAGAGCTGAAAGAAAATGAAGTTGACCATCTACTGCTTTGGTAAGTTCATTTTATGTCATATATTTTGTTGATCTTCTGTGTTTTGCCTATAGGCTATTGCTCTGCTGGATCGATTGATAGTGACCTCGGTGATGAGTGTCTGTGTTTTCCTTATATTTACAGTCTATGGCCGTTGTTGTGAGTGTGGACGGTCGGAGCATATACTGCGTTAGCTTAGCCGATCTCCATTCAGAAAACATGAATTTTAAAAGGTTTTTCGCCTGCCGTCTGTCTGCAGACTTGTCAAAGCATTAATTCATGGTTTTTACTAACCGGTATCAGTATGTAGTTACTTCGGCATCATTTTGAAATGTGTATTACAATTAAATCACGGTCAAATATGTTCATCTTGTTGTAGTTGTAGCCCCCTTGCCAGCGATTCTCTATTATTCATATAGCATATTCAGCCCGACTCAGCCTGGTTGTTCCTGGCCCTAGAACTACGATTATATGGGGCCAGAAAAACTGTGAATTTGGACCCGCTAGCCGGTACTAGGCCAAGTGGAAACGCAACCAAAAACGGGCCCCGCACGGCTCGGCACGCTTAAAGCGAGCTCCGCGCTGCAGTGGAAACGCGCCGTAAGACTCCTTTAAGTTTGAGATACCCCTACCCAAGATAGAATAAAGCACAACTATGTTTTTTCATTACTTTTATACAACTTGTTTTTGGAGCCAATGGTTGTATACAAAATAACGTTGTGACGAAGGTAACGTCGTCACTATGGACTGACGGCTTCAGGCCGGGTAATATTGCACTTTATTAGCGTGATTGCACAGTACAGTTGACATTACATATTTGCACATAATTCATACTAATTATTGAGGTAGTATCTTTTAACTGATTAAACCGTATTTATTGGAATGTTGTCTGGCAGGTGCTGGTCGGGTCCTCGGCTCCGCCTGGAAAGATAGGGGAGTTTGCGAGAGCGCAGAGAGTAGTTATGCTGGTGTAAGGATGACAGCGGTTGAGAGTAATCGGGGTGCAAATAATATGTTGTCTGTGGCTGATGATTGTGTGCACCTGGTGTCCTGTGTTGTCTCCTCCCCCCTCACCTGTGTCTTGTTGTGCTGATTAGAGTGTGTGTATTTAGGCTCTGTTTCCCTGTCTGTTGAGAGGCTGGTAGGGTGTGTGAGATCCTTGTGGCTGCAGAATGTGTGCAAGGAGAACAGCAGGATTGAGGCTGTGAACTTTGTGCACATGATTTTAATAAATGCCCACGTCGGGTTATATTTTTGGACGTTCTGCCTCTGCCTCCTTGCTTGGTCTGGGCCGCTCAACGGTCGGCATCACAAACGTAATAACGTAATTTCTTGGGTTGGTGTTTGAATACTTCCCATAACCAAAAATATTCCAAATGTAGGCTCCTCTGAATGGGACAATGTCGGCCTAATCATATGTATCTCTGGAGAGGCATATTTTGATGCCAGGTAAGTTAATAATAGGCAAAAGAAGACCAATGGTTACTCAAAAGAATTGTGGCAACAAAGTGACATGTAATATTTTTAACAGATATTAACTTTCACTACTTTATTGAAAATAACTGAATCAAATGACTTCATTTAAAAAAATAAAATAATGTTTGCCTATAAAGTGGTGCAGTGACGCATCCTAAAACCGGAAAGTAAGCTGGGCATGGATTCCTTCCAGTTCCCTCGACAAAAAAGCAATGCAATCTCTCCATAGGATTTTGGAAAATAGCTCCAAATCAGGTCTGTGGTTGACACACATTTAAGAGACGGATCACGTTTTGTTCTACGACATTAAATACATCAGCAGTGACCCCACTGGTGATTTTTGAAGAGTTTACGTGTCTGAAAAACGATGGTTGTTAACATGTGGCTGAATAGGACTACAGAAGTTGTTGAGGCCGTTGTACGTCATTACGCCGAACACGTAAACACTCCTCTAAGTTTGTTTGCCCTGTTCAGCTTGAAAGCAAGTACCTGCGCTCTGGCAAACTGTTCAAACACTTCAACTCGTACAATTTTGAATCTGTATTTTTGAATATGGATCTTAAGTTGGCGTGACGTTGAAGTTGTGCAACTTTGCTGTACTCGGCTGTAGTTCGTTTATAGCATAACATTTTGCTTCCAGCGATTAGATTTATGATTCGAAAATCATAAAAGTAGGGTAGACATGTGGATATTAGGGTTGAACAAAACGTACATTTATCAAACAGGTTCGTTTTCCACTGACCTTATTTCGAGCTATTTTCCAAAATCCTATGGAGAAATCCCATTGCTTTTTTGTCGAGGGAACCCGAGTGCAGCTTACTTCCGGGTAAATACGCCATCCCTGCACCACTCTATTATGGATCTCAGATATATACAAATGTATAAAAACATGTCTATGACGTGTTTTGCTCAAAATACCAAACAGATCATGCATTTTAGACATCCCTCATATCCCTCTGTTTCAGCCCTGTTAGAGAAGTGCTGATTCCGGGTCCTTAGCTTCAATTTGAACTGGGCTGATGCTGGCCCCGCCCCCTTTGGAGCACGGCAAGGCAAGCAGAAGATTGTCTGCTCTGCCGAGTAGCATTAAGCTGCAGCGTCGGAAACTGCAGTTTCAGGATCGCAGTCCTGGGACCGCATTCCTAGGACCCTAGTTTTTCGTGACACTGCCACCTAGCGAATTGGAGACATGAATATGAACGACAACGCACAGAGTGTGAGTAATGTGAAGTGCTTTTAAAGTTTTATTTGTTTAACATAAATAATTAATAAAGGGAGGCGTGTGGTGCAGTGGGTTGCAGTCTCCGACGCTGCAGCTTCATACTATTGGCTCTGCCAGCAGATTGTCAGCTGATTAAATGCCCGATCATGTTCCAAACCACTTCAAGGATTATTTCTGAAACAGTATGGAGGTCAAACGCTTTCTCTCTCACAGGTTTACCACAAGGTGAGTTGCTTTTTTACACATACTCTCTCCAGAACAGTGTTAGCTCCTCTGAGTGTTAGCGATGCTTGCTAATGTAAACACAGACCATATTACTTCCAAAACACGTCGCGCATTGTTTCTGATACAGCAACGTTTCTGATAGGGCCGTGGGCGTAATGCCAGCCCACATTTTAGTAATGTCGTCATGACCGCAGCAAATCTGTCTATCTATGTATACAAGACATCAAAAAGTGCATTTTGCATGATAGGAGACCTTTAACATTTAGGGACATAATGTAAACACACTGAGATATTAAGTTGGTAGGAATAATTGAAACCAAGTATTTGGAATTAATTCAACTTTTTATTGTCACAGTGAGTGTACAGTCTGCATTTTAGCCATGGTAGTATAAGGAGCACTGTACTATACAGCGAGGACATGACTTATAGCTTTCTCACTTTAATTAGTTTTCTTCTGTTTGCTGCTTTAAGCCCATTGGTGCTCCAGTAAAGGCTGCAGGGCCACATCAGAACTGTACTGTAGTAGCAGTACGATCCTGCGTGTCCTTCACTCACGTGCTCAGTGAAACAGTGGCATGCTCCCTATGTGTGCCAGAGAACAGCCTATTGTTACGCTGTGACTCTTCCTGCTGCTCAAGGACAAATGTGCAGCTGTCTCACATACAAAAAGCAATATGACTCATCAGCACATTCACAGCTCCCTGCTCCTCTTTCTCCTCTGGCAGCGTGTCATCATTATGTACTTGAGGTGTGCTATCTATAGTCTGTCCAGAGCCGCCTGTCAGCTCGCTGGGTCGGAGCTGCTCAGCCTCTCTGGCAGTCTGTGCAGAAACACCACCCACAGGCAGGCTTTCATCTGTGTCAGAGCTTTCTTGTAGTGAGTGTGTGGTTCAGCTGGGATGTGATGAACACCCACAGCGGGGAGGAGATGGAGTCCAGCAGCTGTCCAGCTCACTGTCTGAGGGTCAGTGTTTGTGACAGCTCCTTCATTGTGGATAAGATCCTTCTGGCTGAGAAGTGTGAGTATTTCAGAGCCTTGTTCCAGTCCGGAATGAGAGAGTGCCAGCAGGAGCACCTCCAGCTGCAGGGGGTGGGCGCTCCAGGCTTCCTGCTCATGCTGAGGGTCCTTAGGGGGGAGCGCCCCCTGCTGAGCGCCGACCAGATCGTGGAGGCCATCGAGTGTACGGCTTTCCTGCAGGTGCCGGTTCTCACCGAGCACTTGATCAACACGGTGAACTCTGAGAACTGCCTGCTCATGTTCCACACAGCGGCCACATTCGGGGTGAGGGAGCTCGCCCACTGCTCCGCCCTGTTCATCAGAGACATGTACTCCGAGCTGGAGGAGGACGTGCACACCTTACCCGACTCGCTGGTGGAGTACATCCAGTCCCTGCTCCCCAGCAGCTACATGGCAGTGTGCAGCCACTCCCCATGCACAGAGCAGCTGCAGAACCCCCAGAGGACCGTGAACTTCCTGGACGAGGACAGCAAGGAGTGGAAGGTGCTGACTCATCTCCCGGTGAGCACCAGCACCACCATGGCAGGCGTGGCAGTCCTAGACAACAAACTTTACATCATCGGGGGGGTGCATGATGTGAGCAAAAAGGTGGTGGAGAGTGGTTTCTGTTACAGCCCTGCAGCAAACACTTGGACCACCTTTTGCGGCCCCCAGAAGCTGCGCTACAACCTGACTCTGATTGGACACCAGGGCTGCCTGTACGCCCTGGGAGGAGAGAACAACAGGAAGGCCCTGTCCTCTGTGGAGAGGTTCAGGGTGGAGACAGGGAACTGGGGGTTTGTCTCCCCCCTCCCTTGCCCGGCAGCCCTGGTGGTGTCTGCTATAGCTATGAGCAGGATCTTCATCTGTCTGTGGAGAGGGAAGGGTGCCACAGATATACACGAGTACGTGCCGGAGCACGATCAGTGGCTCCTGGTCACCACGCTCACCAGGGAGCACAGTTACGCTCTTTACATGGTGGCCCACAGGGATAATCTGTACGTGGTGCGCAATGGGCCCTGTGATGACTTCCTGCTGTGTGTGATGGACTGCTACAGCCTGAGCTCCGGCCAGTGGACGGCTGTGTGCGGTCACTACGGCAACAGTAAGGGCTCCCTGCTCACCGCTGTGGTGAGAGGAGACTCAGTGTTCACTCTGAGCCGCCACGTCACCACAGAGTACACAGTGGAGGATCACAGGTGGAGAGTGACGCGGGAGATGAAAGGGTTCGGTAGGATTGGATCCATATATACATTTCTGATGAAGCTTCCTAAAGTCACTGTCTCCCCTGTGGGAAACTCTCCAGATGTGAACCAAACCCTCAGAACCTGTCCCAGAATCTCCTCACAATGCTCAGACAATAACTAATATACCTGTCTTATTTTCACTGCTTTGGTTCTAAAGTAATCCAAAGAGGCAAGACATCCATCACAGGTTATAGATGGATTTCCTGCTTTGTCCTTCGCAGTGTTCATCCACTGATGGTTAACTCTTGAGTCCTAAACCCGGAAATGAGTTGGCATATTGAAATGCCTGAAATAAGATCTGTGGTTAACACAAGCTGAGGAGATTGGAGTTATGCTTTAATAACCAGCGATGACGACATGTTGTGCTGCTGTTATCAATCTGTGGGAAGCAGAGAGAGAGAGTAGAAAGGAAATAAAGTTTTCAATTTACAAAAAGAAAAAAAACACACTGCCTCGCCTAATGTCTTTAATAAAGTAATCCCAAATACAAACTACTCAGGTCGCATGAGAATACTTTCACATGTTCACATAATAAACACAGGACTGAAAGGGTGCAATATGGGATCATCTTCCTCATCATCATCATCATCATCATCATCATCATCATCATCATCATCATTGTACACAGTATAATGCAGTGAATGTACTTTTGGCCAGGTCCAGATATAATACTGTGGGTTATTCTCTGTGTGCTTATCAACTGGACTTGATATTTATTCCTGCAGCGGATTTTTGGTTTCAGTTGAGATATGGAGTGTGTGTAGATCTTCTGTCAGGCCACGCGCATCATCAGCTCCTCCAGGGCGCGCTCCCGGTGGTTGTCATGGACCAGCAGCACCTCTTTGATGGCGTTCTGCTGGAAGCCCATCTCGTTGAACTGACTCAGCAGGTGAAGGAACTCCTCGGCCTCCAGAGGGAGACAACATTTTGGTTTTTTATACCATTTCATCAATACATCTTGCAGTGTGTGTGGTGTCATCCTCTGCAGGGCTTACCTTTGTCTCAGAGTTTTGAAACATCTCCAGAGCTTCTTCCACCAGACTCTTATCATAACCCAGCTGACACAGGTGGTCACAGGCCAGCAGGTAGCTCAGGATCTGCGCACACACACACACACACACACACACACACACACACACCACACACACACACACACACACACACACACACACACACACCCACACACACACACACACACACACACACACACACACACACACACACACACACACACACACACACCACACACACACACACAATGATTTAACTATTAACTATTTGAATTTAAACGTCAGAAAAATATGTAAGTATTGGGTTAGTTGTACTATTATACAGTACATATATTTATCATTAGATAATAATAATAAATTAAGTAATGTAACTATTAATGTTAAGCTTTATCATATCAAATAATTGTGATTATTATCATTATTAAATCTAACATATTATATTATATTTTATTATATGATATACTATTTTGTACTATTAAATGATATTCTATTGTATTATTGATGATGTGTTTTTTTTTGTAAAATGCATATAGCAATATGTTGGCAGCAAGTGTCTCCAGGAGTGTGCCCCCTCCCATCCTGCACGACGGGGTCATGCGAAACACAGAGCGCTGTGGAAACTCTGACGGCTATTTGTATCTTGCTTCACAAGGCTTAGTATACTGTGTTTTGGTTTCATTCCCATGGGCGACTGGTAACTCTTTCAGCTATACAAAATAACTGAAGAGAATCTACACTCACTGGCCACTTTATTAGGTACACCAGTTCCACTGCTCGTTAACACAAATATATTATCAGCCAATCACATTTCAGAAACTGCTGATTTTCACGCAAAATCATCTCTAGGGTTTACAGAGAATGGTCCGATTAGGGTAATCACTAAGTGAGCGGCAGCTCTCTGGGAGAAAAAGCCTTGTTGGTGCCAGAGGTCAGAGGAGAAATGGCAGACTGGTTCAAGTTGATAGAAAGGCAACAGTTACTCAAATAACATTACATTACATTGCATTTAGCTGACGCTTTTATCCAAAGCGACTTACAATAAGTACATTCGACCAGGAAGACACAACCTTGAAGAAAACAGAATCATATAAGTACATCAGGTTTCATAGAGCCAAACATTTCAAGTGCTACTCAACTGGCTTTAGATAAGCCAGTCCTTTATTAGTATAAAAGTGCTTCGTTAATAGTTCTAACGCTCAAAGTGGAGTCGAAAGAGATGAATTTTCAGTTTGCGCCGGAAGATGTGCAAGCTATCTGCCGTCCTGATGTCAATGGGGAGCTCATTCCACCATCTTGGAGCCAGGACAGCAAACCCACGTGTTTTCGCCGATGGGAACTTGGGTCCCCCTCGCAGCGAGGGCACAACGAGTCGTTTGGCTGATGCAGAGCGTAGTGCACGCGCTGGGGTGTACGGTTTAACCATGTCCTGGATGTAGGAAGGGCCAGATCCATTCGCAGCATGGTAAGCAAGTACCAGTGTCTTGAAGTGGATTCTAGCAGTTACCGGAAGCCAGTGAAGGGAGCGGAGGAGCGGAGTGGTGTGGGAGAATTTAGGAAGGTTGAAAACCATACGAGCCGCTGCATTCTGGATGAGCTGCAGTGGTCGGATGGCACATGCAGGTAGACCAGCCAGGAGGGAGTTGCAGTAGTCTAGGCGTGAGATGACGAGAGCCTGGACCAGAACCTGAGTCGCTTTCTGAGTCAGCTGGGGACGTATCTTCCTGATGTTGTAAAGCGTGTATCTGCAGCAACGGGTTGTAGCAGCGATGTTTGCAGTGAAGGACAGGTTGTTATCTAGGGTCACACCCAGATTCCTTGCAGTCTGAGTCGGGGAAACAACTGAGGTGCCGATGTTGATTGTCAGGTCAAGAGTTGGACAATCTTTTCCCGGGAGGAAGAGCAGCTCAGTCTTGTCAAGGTTGAGCTTGAGGTGGTGAGCAGACATCCACTGAGAGATGTCAGCTAGACAAGCAGAGATGTGTGCGACGACCTGGGTCTCTGAGCGGGGAAAGGACAGAATTAATTGGGTGTCGTCAGCGTAGCAGTGGTAAGAAAAACCATGCGGGCTAATGACTGATCCGAGCGAGTTTGTGTACAGGGAGAAGAGGAGGGGACCAAGAACAGAGCCCTGAGGGACCCCCGTAGTTAATTGACAAGGGTCGGACTCAGACCCTCTCCAAGTCACCCTGTAGGTACGGTCTTTCAGGTATGAGGTGAGGAGGGAAACAGCCACTGGTTACAGCCAAGGTATGCAGAAGACCACCTCTGAACCACAACACGACATTGCTGCGACATTCGGAAGGTGGGGTCAGAATTTGGCGTAAAAACATGAGAGCATGGATCCATCCTGCCTTGTATCAACGGTTCAGGCTGGTGGGGGTTAATAGTTTGGGGGATAGTTTCTTGGCTTACTTTGGGCTCCTTAGCACCAATTGATCTTCGTCTTAACGCCACAGCCTACCTGAGATTTGTTGCTGACCATGTCCATCCCTTTATGACCACAGTGGACCCACCTTCTGATGGCTATTCCTGCAGGATAACACGCCGTGTCTCAAAGCTCAAATCATCTCCAACTGGTTTATTTAACATGACGATGAGTTCCCTCAAATGGCCTCCAGTCACCAGATCTCAACCCTATCTCTGAGGAATGTTCCAGCACCTTGTTGAGTCAAAGGGGGTCCAACCCGGTACCAGCAAGATGAACCTAATAAAGTGGTCAGTATGTAGAAGGTGTATACTGTATACATATAGAAATAAATATAGATAAAATCTCAAAGTTATTGTATGTGCAGTGATAGCAGGCTCTGCATGTCTGATTGGACTAACACAGTTAATACGGAGGTCACAGGTCAAACTGTTATTGTTAGCCACCCCTGAAGCCAAACCCATGATGTAACCCACTCTAAATGCAAAGTGGCTGCACTATGATTACATTTACACAAAAGGCGAGCAGGATTCAAATATAAGTAACTTTAACTAACAACATATTCAGCTTGTCATTGCCTCTCACTGAGTTGCTTTTTATACTCGCAGCTGTTTCAATGCTAATGGCAGTCTACTGACACATCAAACATTACTGTGAGCTGGATTCAATGATGTTGCTCCTTTCACTCGAGAGCAAAAGCTGTTATATATAAATACATATGTATAGCCAAGGGACAACTTTTGGGTTGACTATGAGACGATTGGTCCCCTGGGCACAGAAGATTAAATCGTCTCTTAGCCTGTTTTCGTTGTTGTTTTGGTCTCTGTGACATATCGTGTGCTTATGAGGTGTGTTTGTGGCAGACCGGGAAGGAGTGATAGCATACAGTATCAGCGGTCTTAGTGTATGTAACAGTGACTGACCTGATCTGGGGTCTGCCGGCCCGTCCTCTGCAGGGCCATGATGGCGGTACGGAGGGGGTAACCCCGGGCAGTGACGGCCCCAAGCAGCTCCCTCTCCTCTGGGCTCAGAGCTGACAGCAGGTCTGCAGACCAGTCCCAGCCAGGAGAGGATTCTCTGCAGGAGTCTGGACTGAGCCGCTGAAAACAACACTGTGTAGTGAGTGACAGTGTGTGAGTGTGTGTGTGTGTGTGTGTGTGTGTGTGTGTGTGTGTGTGTGTGTGTGTGTGTGTGTGTGTGTGTGTGTTGTGTGTGTGTGTGTGTGTGTGTGTGTGTGTTCCTGAACATCCCAGCAGCAGGGGATGGGGTTCTTGTTGATACCAGGAAGTAAAGCATTATATTATATACAGTCATCTTATCAAGAAAGCACCAGTTTGCAGCAGCTTCACTCACTCTCATTAAATGTGATTCTGTGTTAGGCTGACAGATGAGATGCAGCTTTGCTGGGAAAGACATTTTTAGAGGACTTCCTCCTGCTAATCCTGATGAACCTTACACCTGGCTGGATTTAGGAGCAGACTTTACACAGTCTACTTTTAGACTAAAGATCCAAAAAGATTTGGGAAATGTGAATTGGATGGATTTCCCCTCCAAGTGTGGACATTCCTCTAAGAATAAAGTACATTTAAAGACGGACTTGAATGTAGATAGTTAGACTACGTGTGCTGTGTTATGCAGAGAGGGGTGTGTGCTGATGTAAAGCTGTATTTATAGTGTGCTCCTGCAGACTAACCATACTGCACATTAGCATTAGCTCTCTCATAAAATAGTTTTGTTGCAACAGCATTCTCATTAAAACACAGGTGTGTTTAGCTCATACTTGTTGTTTTATACAGTGATAGGACATGAATATTATTCTGTATTGTGCAGCGCAATAATGTGAACTGAGATGATCAAATCCAGTTTTATTTATATAGCACATTTATAAACGATTTTTGGTCGAGCCAAAGTGCTGTAAATATAATAAAAATAGCCTACAGTAGAGACACTTTACAGCAAATACAACAGCACAGATTGTTCAGAATATCAGTATGAGAAATACGACACCCTCTACCCTTAGACCCTCACATCGTACAAGGAAAAACTTCCAGAGAAAACCCACAGTTTAAAGGGGAACATGGGAGAAACCTCAGGGAGAGCAACAGAGGAGGGATCCCTCTCCCAGGACGGACAGACGTGCAATAGATGCCGTGTGTAAATCCAAGAGATAATACATTTTACAGCATATAGACCGAATGTTAGGAAATGCATGTGTCTGTAATAAGAAGATGAATCCACGAGGATGTCAGCTACAGATGATGTTGTGCTGGCCCTCAGTGGCAAAGCTGCAGTAATTCCTTATTAATTATTACCAATGGATGATTAACTATGTGTAATGTGTGTCACTGATGAACACACAGAGAACAGGACTGCACCTCCTCTCAGCTGGATGAAGGAGCGGTTCTCTAACATGCTCAACATGTCAGATTTAATAGAAATGGATTCAAATGTTGAAATTTAGTCTGAACATGTATCCAACCTATTATGAGCAGCGTGGGGGTCTGGGGCCCTGCTCAATGGCACCTCGGCAGGGCCCAGGAAGCAACTGGTACCTGGAAGCAAATGTCTACTCTATATTTTGTCCGGTCTTGGACTTACGGCCCGTCCACACGCAGCGTCGCGTGCTTCAACGGAGACGCTTCCCATTCACTTTGAATGGGGTGACGTCACGCTTTGCCGAACTGCATTGTGATTCCGTGGCGTCGCTTTGCCTCTGTTGCTCGCTTCGAAAGTTGAGAAAAGTTCAACTTTTGAAGCGTAGACGGAAGCGCCAGCCCATCAAATCATATACCAGTACACAGTGGCGGCGCCAGAGTATTTTTGTTGGGTAATCTATGGCAGGGCTAACCCATACAGTGGTGGGGCTCAAGTCAGTATTTGCAATGTAATCACATACACGCTATATCGCCCCCTTGACAGTGAAAAGCCACGCGTGAGGTTTAGATTATTTCCCTGTCTCAATCAAAATGGAACTGTATGAAATAAAACGGCACATTTGTCTTGTAGTCTTGTTCTCAACATTTAGCATTTTGCTTATTATTTAATTTAATTGGCTTACTTTAACATAATTTGTCATTGTTGGGCTAAGGTGGGGCTAAGCCATTTCTTGGTATGGCTGTAGCCTACCCCAGCCATACCCTGGCGCCGCCACTGCCCGTACAAGCTCTAGCCAATCAAACCGCGTGCTTGTGTGTCCAGGGCTGGATATTAATGTGATTGGTTGTTGGTCGCACGCCAGACACGCCCACCGGCAAGCTTCAACGCACGCTGCCGTGTGGACGTACCGTTACACCAACCACCCTCCCGTGGCCAAGCTAGATCCCTACAGTGCTCATGCTGCCATTAGATCATGTTTCCATGATCCTGAACCTGAAACACATCCTGGAACTCAGCTATCTTCTTTAAAGAAATGCTTAAAGCTGGAGCTCCAGCAGTCATGAACATGTTGATGGGCTCTTACCGTGTATGTGGTCCTGTGGCTGTAGAAGCTGGGCAGGCGGTCCACTGTGTTGGCTCTGGTGGTGGGGGTCCGGTGGCTGTGGGGTCTGCTGTCTGTGTTGGCATTGTGCTGTTTGGGTGTGTCCAGCACTGACAGGGAGCACTGCCGGAGGTTCTTCCTGCGCTGGTGCGGCAGGCTGCTGAGGCAGGAGGGGGGGTTCAGCAGGTCAGGGACGAAGGCCTGTGCTCTCCTCCGACTCCTCCCACCTGGAGCAGCAGGACGCCCTCCAACAGAGCAGGCACCGCCCTCTTCATCATCCTCCGAGTCTGAGACAGCCATCTTGCTGCGCAGGAAGACGGGGTTGAGGCTGTGGGAGCGCGGGCGAGGGGTAGGCTCCCAGAAGTCGGAGCAGTGGCGGCTGGCCAGGCGGCTCTGCTGGGGGCTGCTGAACATCATCCAGTAGGGGGGGCAGGACGGCTGCAGGCGGGACGGGGAGCAGAGTGGAGGACTCTGCTGGCCAATGAAGCCGCTCTGCAGCCCGGCAAGAACCCAGTTCTCCAGACTGAACCCATACTGACAGACAGACAGCGAGTTAGACCTGCTGCTCTGAAGCTGCTCTGCTCACTGTCAGAAGCTTCATCAACAACCACATATCATCATAATACCTCCGATAAAGGCTGAGATGTTTCTGTCTGGACCAAAGTGGTGGACAGAAGGAAGACAGACACATTGTATTACCTCTCAACCGCCTAGCTTTAATCTCTGAACTAAGGAAAATGCTGCATCAATATGAGCTGCTTGTCTAAAATGTATTATATTGGTATTGATATTTCAAGGTGATTTGGTGGGGAGGAAGCTGGTGTATTGGTGTGTGTGTTTGTGTGTGTACAGCGTGTACTGCACACACACACTAAACACACACACACTAACACTACACACATAATGCACCCACACACAATGGCAGCCTACATTGTTCCGACACACATTGTACACACACACACACACTGTACCCATATAACACGCACACACACACACACACACACACACACACACACTATATACAGTACATACATACACACACTGTAAAAACACACCTCTGTGTCCTGCAGTGTGTTCAGATAATCAGGGACAATAACCTCCATGTCGTCTTCCACTTCCTGTGAGGCACACTGTGGGATCCTCAGAGGGACACCGTCCATCCTGAAACACACACACATACACACACACACACACACACACACACACACACACACACACACACACACACACACACACACACACACACACACACACACACACACACACACACACACACACACACACACACACACACACACACACACACACACACACACACAGAAATACTGTGTTTTCACATTATTTTCCTTCTTTTAATCAGTGTCGCCAGTACTCTGACTCAATAATGTTTTTACACATTTTAAAAGTTAAAAGTTATTTCATCAACATTGTTTGTGGGTCAGGTCATTGTATTTATGTGCCCTCCGCCAATAAATAATTCAAGGTAGGGGGTTTGGGGCCCGTTTATATTAAACAAAGAACATCTTCACTGTCCTGCCTCATGCAACTTGTCTGCTACTTGATGACAAAAGCACCTCAACAGCCTAGCTTTAATCTCTTAACTAAGTGAAATGCTGCATCAATACGAGCTGCTTTTTAGTCTTACATCAATATTGGTTTGATATTTTAAGGTGTTCCGGTAGGGAGAAGGCTAGTTTGCTTGGTTAAAGAAAAAACGCATGTAAACAGTCCTGGTAGATTTGATATAGAAACATTGTAACTAGTTGTGGTGCTAGCTAATCAGTTGGCATTTGATTAAGGTAGCCTAAGCCATTAGCATGTGTGATGAACTAACATCAGGTTAGGGTTGGTTACAACAAAGTGATGGAGGATTCAATACAGCCTCGTATGATGAGCAATGTTTTCTAAAACTAATAAAAAAACTAAACTCAAACTGCAGTTACCTGATTAACATTCTGGTCAAATTATTAAAGTTATAACTGTTTACATCTTTATCCCTTTTTCATATTTAATACAACTAACTATACCCTTAAATATTTATGGAGATTTTATATCAGATGTTTCAATATTAATAAATGCACACAGAAGGATTTGATAATTTAATTTCCGATTTAAATATACATGAATCTTTCAACAAACACATTCGATGAACACTAAAATAAATGTAATATGATTATGTAAAATAAAAATCCACAAAGACTTTCAGTAACTAGATAAAAATCAAGCCTTCAGCTCGACGAGCCCTGTCTGATAAGATGATATATTATATGTAACGGTCATAGTTATGTGTCCCAGTACATAATTCAGCATTGCAGAAATATTGGTGTCCTTTCTGATCACAGCCTTATCTTAAAAAACAAACATGTTAGGTCAATGGGTCAATCCTGCTTTCATCATTTTGGAAGAGTTCTTGAACCAAACTGTTGCTTTCATGATAAGAAGACTGTATATAATATAATGCTTTACTTCCTGGTATCAACAAGAACCCCGCCCCCTGCTCACCCAGAGCCCTGCTGCTGGGATGTTCAGGACACACACACGCACACGCACACGCACACACACACACACACACACACACACACACACACACACACACACACACACACACACACACACACACACACACACACACACACACACACACACACACACACACACACACACACACACCACACACACACACACACACACACACACACACACACACACCAACTCTGGCTTCCTTGCACTGGTTGCCTGTTGCTTTTCGAATTGTTTGTAAGATTGTATTAATAACTTACAGGGCCGAGTCATTCTACAGAAAAGGTGGAATCTGGGTGATACAAATCTGCTGAAATATATTCCTTCTAAACACATCTAAAACCTGTTAAATAGCAATAACTAACTCTTAACTTGATGAATCCACAACAAGTAGAGCTTAAAGTATTTTTATTATTTGTATACATTATACAAAGCTTATTTATATAGGAACGTCACTGGTGTTACGTGTTACCAGGAAGAAGAGTAACACCAGTGACAATTTGGAGAAAACACTACCATTTTAACAAAATTGCTGTCATGGTCAGACCACATATGGCTTCAGTCAATATCAAAATCGTTGAACTCTTCAATACAATACATTTTCCCTTTCAAATGTTCATCCCTAGGGCTATGAAATGAGTAACACTAATGACAAATTTGAAGATAAAATGACACCTTTAACCAGGGCCGGCCCTAGACTTTTGGGAGCCCTAAGCAAGCTTTGGCTTGGGGGGCCCCCGCACGTTCTCACTACACACAACACGGAACCAACTTTTGTCTTATGATGTTAGCATAAGCACACATATTGCATAAATAAGCATGTAAACACAGTGGACCTAACCTCCTCTAGGAGGGGTCCTCACCTCCTCTCGCGGGGTCCGGGCCGGGGCATGCTCACCCGGGAAGATTTTTTTTTTAAATATTGAAGTTAAAAGCATCAATCTGGTGCACTTTGAGAGCAAAATTAAGAGATCTATGGATACATCTCTCAACAGCCATATGAAACAGAACTGTAAGCAGATTTTTCTTTATGGATATTTTACAAATCACTTAAACTGTATTCTTGTTTTGTCATATAGTATTTCATAACTGTTTTTCATTTATTCTCTCTGGCTGTCCATCTCATAATGTTCACATAGAAACTAGCTGTCAATAGGAATATCAATCAGAAGAATTATAATTTCTTGCAAAAATCTGTCACAAAAAGAGGTTGCACATTTCAATTCAGGTGTTATGGAAACATCAGTGGCCAAACAGCCACATTTACTGCTGCAAATACGTTCAAACATGCTGTCGACGTAAAGCAGTGGCAACTATGCCACCATTTCAGCTGACTTTTTCTCAGAAATACTGTCACATAACATCCATATATTTCAGTGCTAGGTTGATGCTTAGCTAAGCTAACTATGAAACACTTTAACTGACAGGACTCAGGATCAACTGTGTACTGTAAGGTAGCTTCTAGCCTCATGTCGAACAGTAAGTCAACATTTCCCAGAGAGCTTTCTTTGAAATCACCAGGTAACGCTAAAAAAACATTACATTTAGATTGTATGACAAAGTGTTTATTTCATATATCTGGCTAGCTATAGCTACTTGCTAACGGTTTAGCTTACCCCCGCGATTCAAAGTAACATCAACGTAGCTGTAATGTATGTTTTGCTTTCATGTTCGCATAACTTGGAAGTTTACTGACATTTACATACCTTGTTTACCTGGCTCAAGTGGTGGCTCTGGGGTTGTTGTGTGAGCCACCACTTTTTTGAGAATTTTAGTCTTTTTTAAGAAAAAAACGTCTTATGTCCATCTTCAAAAACTCTGAGTCCGACTGACAGTTTATTTTAAACATTGTCACAGCTCACAGGATAGGTACCAGGCGCGCCGGATTCATTTTAGAAGTGGGGGGGCCACTTTTTGCAAAAGTGCGTGTGTATGGCCCAATCCCAAACCACGCCCTACACCTACACACTCCCCCTCCGTGATGGAGTGAACTCCGTGGAGTGACACATGAGGCTCCCTCCTGTCAGATGGAGGGAGTAAATACAGCAGCAAGCTTTGGGACAAACTCCCCTCTCTCCGGCAGAAACAGGAAATGCCGTAACTGTATGTAGGCCTAACAATAGTTTCAAATCAACATCTCTTTGACAAAAAATGTAAATGACTAACTCAAATAAAACTCCAAACATCTTTAATTGTGTTACTTTTTTGTAAAGCTCTTTTAGTTTTAAACCTGATGTTTATAAGCTTCTTAGTTTTTGCAATAGTCTGTAAATATACACAACTTTATACTTTTTTGACATTTTCTGCGGCTGCAGAGGTGCTGCTTTTGGGTTCATCTGGCTTCGCTGTTTCTATGATTGAAGAAGGTCCAGGCTCCGGAGATGTGGATGTCAGGGATGTGACCTTCCAGTTCTTAAATGTAAGTTTAGATTGACTGTATTTAGTTTTCTTCTGCGCTGGTTCTTCTGACATGTTTGCAAGTGTATATATTATTTTTAGGTTAACGGCTGACACACACAGAACAACGTAACAAATAAAGTAAACAACGTAACAAATAAACAAATCTAAGCTTTTTTATTGGTTGTAATTTACATGGATACATTTGAATGGTGTGACAATGTCCTATTTGATTGGGTTAAAATGTACATATTCTTCCTGTCATGTCTGCCTGCTTTATTTGACCTAATGCAAAGCTCCATCGAAATCAGTCGCATTGACCCGAAGACACGTTTTGATTCCTAGCTTTCTAATGATATCAGGATTGTTTTTGTACTCCAAATATTAAGCAAAATATGTCACATGAAGATATTTTCGTTTGGATTACTGCACTCACGAGAAACACCGGCTGTTGTTATGCCTGCTGTGACGTTAAATTACTCCGTTCTCCGCTTGTAATTATGCCGAAGCTTCAAAGTTGTAGGCAGGGGCGGCGGGTGCTGTAGGCTAGGGAAGGCTAAGCCTTCCCAAATATTTGGGTCACTGCATCCTGGTAAAATACAAATATAATGTATAATGTCTGTGTCTTTGACATTAGCGCTGCTAGCCACCTGTGCCCTGTACTACGAAGCCAGTTCAACATACCCTGGATATGTTTGAGTAACAAACAAACTAACAACAACAAATTAACAAACGAGATCTCGCTAAGCGGTCCTACGACGCTGGTTATCAACTCGGTAAATCAAGCCAGGGTTTCTCTCACCAGCTGAGAGCACGTTCACGTGAAAGGGGCGGGGTTAGCTACATTTGACCAATCACAAACAGGGACAAGTGTAGCCTACTGACAGCGCAGCGTCATACTTCATTAATGAAAAGTAAACTAATATTAGACAAATATGAGCTTTAAACATCCATGATTTAAACATATAATCCAGGATACAAGCCACATAGCTGCACCTGCAAGGTGAATATAGAACTGGTTAAAAAATAACTACCGAGTGTTTGAAAGCGTATAATTTTATGATATCACTGCCCCTAAGACACGAGTGGATCTGACTTTAATTACATTTGACTCGAGTGTTTCGTCAACATAATGTGTTGCTTAAAATAATACTTCTGCATACAGTATGTGACACTGTGAGTGTTGCACGGCCAGATACGGCTGGAGAAGCTGACTCAGATAAGGAAATATATGATATATTGTGGTGACACGTTATTGGACATAATTCACCTTGCTTATTGTGTTGCCACACGGACCCTTTAGTGGGGAACACCTGTAGATTTAGCTGCCATTCCTGCTAGCTCATCAGGCAGAGCAGTGCATGTGTTAACCTCTCTGAAAGTAATGGATAATAAAGATTGGAACTCCATTCTTAATACACCGCCTCCGACTCTCTTTTCACGGCACCACACTGGTGACCCTGACTTTTCCGAGAAAGTTTCCGGAAAATTAACGAACATGGCTGAGCGCGATGTTTTCATAAAGCTGCCGGAATTCTGAGAGCACGCCGCGGAGGCATGGTTCGCACACGTGGAGGCACATTTCGCCTGCCGACAGGTCCGTGACGGGGACCTAAAATACTACCATGTGGTAGCAGCGCTGGGGAGCTCCACGTCGTCCAGGTTGGTGGGATTCATCGCAGCCCCCCCACATCATGGCAAATATGAGGCGATTAAGGCCCTTCTCCTTAAGACATTTAGCTTATCTGCTAAGGAGAGGGCCCGCCAGATACTTGACATTCAAGGCCTAGGAGACAGCAAGCCATCCCAGCTAATGGAGAAAATGCTAAATCTGCTAGGGGGGGAAGATCCCCGGATTTTATTCACGGAGATTTTCCTGCGTCACTTGCCTCCCCGGGTACAGACGGCGCTGGCCAACACGCCTGTCACGGAGCCCCGTGCTTTGGCTGAGGAAGCGGATCGTTTTTTCCTGGCTACGCAACAGCCTGGGGCAGAGACGTTAGCCGCGACGCTCAGCGGCCCACCGGCAGTCAAGAAAGCGTGGCGGAGGCCGGACACGGCTGTGGCTAGCCGGCGTGGAGACGCCCGAGACTGCGTTTACCACGCACGTTTCTGGACAAGGGCGAAGAGATGCGTCGCTCCGTGCAGCTACAAACCCCCGGGAAACAGAGGGGCCGGCGCTCAGTAGTGGCTCTGAGCGTCGGCGGAACGCGCAGGCTCCTCTTCGTCAGCGACAGCGTTTCGGGGAGCTTGTTTCTGTGTGACACGGGCGCTCAACGGAGCGTAGTTCCAGCGTCGAGTGAAGACGTCGCCCGTGGGGGGCACGGACCGCGATTGACGACGGCTAACGGCAGTCCCATTCGCACGTACGGCGTGAGGCCTATGTGTTTGTGCATCGGAGGACAGCGTTTCAGCTGGGATTTTGTGACAGCGGACATTTATTTTCCCCTCCTCGGAGCGGATTTTTTGTGTGCTCATGGACTCTTAGTGGACGTTAAGAATAGGCGTTTGGTTGATGCCTTAACGTTTTCTTCCCTCGTGTGCACACTTGGCAGCGCAGCGTACGACGGGCTGTCAGGCTCGCTGTCAGGTGCAGACACGTTTCTCAGACTGTTGGCCGAGTTTCCAGACCTGTCGCTACCCACCTTCTCTGCGCTTACCACTAAGCATGGCGTGGAACACCACGTCACTACCGGGGGGCCTCCTGTCTACGCCAGGGCCCGGCGGTTGAACCCTTCTAAGCTGGCTGTAGCGAGGGTGGAGTTCGCAACCATGGAGCGCCTGGGCATTGTCCGCCACTCCGACAGTCCTTGGGCTTCCCCCCTGCACGTCGTTCCCAAATCGAACGGCGGGTTCCGCTCGTGCGGGGATTACCGCCAACTCAACGACGCCACTACGCCTGACCGCTATCCGGTGCCGCACATTCAGGACTTTTCGGCGCATCTGGCCGGTACGGGGGTGTTTTCCAAGGTGGACCTGGTGCGTGGATACCACCAGGTGCCCATGCACCCCCTGGACATTCCCAAGACAGCAGTGATAACGCCTTTTGGACTTTTTGAGTTCCTGCGGATGCCTTTTGGACTCAAGAATGCCGCTCAGACGTTCCAGCGCCTGATGGATTCGGTGCTGCGGGACCTGCCGTTTGTGTTTGTTTACCTCGACGACATACTCGTCGCCAGCGCTTCAGTGCAGGAGCACCTGTCCCACCTCCGAGCCCTTTTCACACGGCTCAACGAACACGGATTAATCATCAATCCTGCAAAGTGCCAGTTCGGGGTGTCGGACATCGATTTCCTGGGGCACCGCGTCACCAAGGGCGGTGCGACACCTCTGCCAGCGAAGATGGAGGCTGTTGCGGCGTTTCCTCGCCCGCTCACAGCCCGGTCGCTCCGTGAGTTTCTGGGGATGGTGACTTTCTACCACCGTTTCATCGCCCGGGCCGCACACATCATGCGTCCGCTGTATGAAGCGTTGAAAGGCAAGACCCCCGTCCAGGAGATTGACTGGACAGCAGAGGCGGACGGCGCTTTTGCTGAGGTCAAGACCGCGTTGGCTCAGGCGGCTTTGCTGGCACACCCATCATCTACGGCTCCCATCTCCATCACCACGGACGCGTCAGACTACGCGGTCGGCGCAGTGCACGAGCAGTGGGTGGAGGGCGCTTGGCAGCCGCTCGCCTTTTTCAGCCGCCAGCTGACGCCTAGAGAACGCAAATACAGCGCCTTTGACCGGGAGCTCCTCGGACTTTATTTGGCCGTGCGGCACTTCCGTTTCATGCTGTAAGGCCGTGAATTTACGGCGTTTGTCGACCACAAGCCGCTCACCTTCGCCATGTCAAAAGTGGCGGAGCCTTGGTCGGCACGTCAGCAGCGGCAGCTGTCCTACATATCGGAGTTCACTACGGACATTAAGCACGTGGCTGGCAAGTCGAACCTGGTTGCTGATTGCCTCTCCAGGGTCGTCATCGGTGCCGTCCAGTTGGGCCTGGACTATACTCGCATGGCGGCAGACCAGGTCACAGATCCCGGCGTCCAGGCCCTGAAGGTGGAGAGCGCGGGGCTGCACTTGGAGGACGTGGTGTTCGGCGACGCGGGCATTACTCTCCTGTGTGACGTCTCTACGGGCCTGGCGCGGCCTGTCGTCCCTGCCAGCTGGAGGCGTCCTGTGTTCGAGGCTGTGCACGGCCTGTCACACCCCGGCGTTAAACCTTCGGTGCGTTTGGTAGCGGCGAAGTTCGTTTGGCAAGGACTGAAAAGGGACGTGAGGACTTGGGCCAGGGAGTGCGTGACTTGTCAACGCGCTAAGGTGCACCGCCACACGAAGGCCCCGTTGGAGCGTTTCCTGGTGCCTGAGAGGAGGTTTGATCAC